AAATTTATTCAATATTCAAAAAATGCAAAATACAAAACATATCGTAAATACGTACAATTGTCCTCACAATGTTAAATGCCTGCACTAGGACAATCCTGTATCGCAGACGAGAGGAGTTCTAAATATAATTCTTATAGTAACACATTTTATTTCTACAGAGCCATATACTTAACATTATACAACAGAAAACAATATGATTATTTTAATATACATACATACATACATATAAAACTAATCCTCATATAAAATATACTATAATATACCTAATAAATATATTAAAATAACAACTAAAGTAAGATTTGTTTAAAACAGCAACATTATTTTTATCGACGAGGAATTATCTACATCAGCAGAAATAAACTAAGTAGGCTAACACTAAAGTCCATAGGTCATTCATTTGAGTTTGAGAAACACAACGTTTGAGTAAGCACAAATGCTGGATAGCAACAAAGTGATGTTTAATCTAACATAATATGTAGTGTCACTGTTGTGCAATAAGTAGGCCAATCAACTCAGAAGTATGACGCATTACGCGCCCTCGTAATCAATCGAGTTGATATACCTGTGCTGAGCTATGTTCTTTGCCGGACACTCAGCGTCACCCGTCTTATGATTGTTGGGCTTATTAAACCGAGAGCATGTTGCACATTTAGGGGATTCTCCTTTTTTCGTGCACGCCGCTGTTAAATGGCCTATTTCTCCGCAGTGTCCACATGATGAGGGGCCTCTACATGATTTAGCTGCATGTCCGTACTGTTGACAGTTATAACACCTGGTGACTAATGTAAAGTCCCTTACAGGGCAAGAATTCCAATTTATATATATTCTTTCCTGAGCTATAAGGACCTTGCGAATGTTGGCTGGAACTTCTATGATAAGGTTACAGGTCGGCGCATCCTTCTTTCCGGATTTGTGGCTCAGTTTAATTGCTGTTAAAAAGGACTCCATGGTCATCTCTGGAAACTTCTCAGCAATGTTTTGCTCGTATATGAACTTCAATACGTCAGTGTCAACTAAAGAAGTCGGGACGCCTACCACAGTGATTCGTGGCTGGCGTTTTTTGGGCTCACCGATGACAAGACCAGATGACGACTGATGAACTGCCTGCTTGACCTTCTCAGCATCCTGTTTGTTGTCTGTGCTAATTACTATGCCTCCGTTTTGGATTTTTCGGACTCCACGTACGTGTAGCTTCATTTGGTCAGGCCGTATGATTTGTTGTACCAGAGATTTGGTTTCGTCACTGCACTTTACTAATTTACTCACTGGGTAAATTGCAACAGAATTTTGCTTTTGGGGTTGCACAAAATCATTTGGCCCTTTCTTCACCATATCGGCAAAAGAGACGTTCTTAGATGCGGCAGAGTCGTTGATAACCTTTTTCAACACCATAATTTCTTCCGCTAGGTCCCGTTTTTCTCTAAGGTCGTCAATTATATAGAGGGCTTGTTTGGCTTTCTGCTTCAAAGACTGATACGAGACTGCTATTTGCGATACACCTGATTCTATTTTGCGGCTCAAGTTAGTTATTCTTAATTTCTGCTCGGAGTTGAGTTTGCCTTCTGTGGCAATAATGCAGACTTCGTTTAACTGCTTCTCTATGGTTGACATCCATTTCTGGAGTTCTGACGTGGATACCACTTCTATACAGAAGCTAGGTTGCTGGCTTTTCTCTTGCGAGGTACAGGCACGGATATTACTGGGACTATTCTCCATTTTGTCTTCACTTGGTCACTACGTTTATGTTTTCATATTTGTAGAAAAAAACTGAGTAATAAGCAACAATATGAAAGGAGGTCACAAATTTAGCGTATTGCCAATGCGCACGTCTGTTCACTACGAACGGCAACAATTATGTCGTAGAAAATATTTAATTTTGTAAGAAAAGAGAAAATACGTGTCTTATATTTTAAAATAACATAACATCACGCTTTTTTATCCCCTAAGGGGTACGTAGATTACGCACTTGATGCCACAGTACAATGTAACACCCACTTTTCACTATTTATGTGTGAGTATGAGTCCCGTGTAGTAGGGGTGAGCCTATTGCCATAAACCAGGCACGTTTCCAGACTCCGTGCTACTACTGAGATTTTTAAAAACCCAGTAATACTTTGCCCGACCCGGGAATCGAACCCGAGACCCCTTGCCCGGCAGTCGCAATTGCGACCACTCAGCCAACGAGTTTTAAAATAATCTACCGTTAAAATAAAATTTAGCATATTACCCTATTCCGAATTCCCAAAGGCCAGCAACGCACTCCTCTGATCTTGCGGATGTCCATGAGCGGCGCCGATTGCTTACCATCAGATGCCCCGTCTAACCACTTGTTTGCCATGTTTTTATAATAACTATCGTGAGACATACTGAATTAACTGAAAACTGCTGGTTACTTACGTGAATATACTGAGAAAAGCTCTACTAGTTTCGAACCACAGAGAGGTTCTTCCTCATGAGCAGCGTGCGCGGACACGGCGACGTCGCGCAGCTCACAGCTCAGTGAAACTCTCTGTGGTTCGAACCTAAACTAATGGAGCTTTTCTCAGTATATTCACGTGAATAACCAGCAGTTTTTAGTTAAATTCCCTGTTTGCCGTCCAATTCCATAAAAAAAGATTATATTTCTAATTATTTCACAGGTTACTGAATGGTTTGTCAAGCGAACGCGTCAGATGGATCAAGACGATTGAGGATTTGGACATCGCCAAAGTTAACTTGATAGGAGACATATTACTTAGTGCATGTAAGTTTATTCAAAGTTATTAAGTAAGTATTGTTTTCTTGCCAATGTATTGGAAAATGCTTTGATATATAACTATATGGTCGTAAACGACACTACAGAGTATCAGATCTCGCGTTCTCGGACCGAATAAGTGTCCTTGGATTAAAAAAAAATAATTTCAATTATATAAAGGCGTGAAGCACATGGCATTAAGTGCCGTAATGTGCATAAAAGGCTTGACGTTATGTATGTATGTATAATGTATATGTAATGGAGTGAAGTTTATATAAATAATCCCTATGATTTTTTTGTTAATAGGTGCTGTAGGATATATTACGCCGTTTACAGACGAATTTAGAAGAACACTTCTTAGCGAATGGATTCAGCACATTCAAGTAATTTATTATATCTTTTTATACTGACTTCCTACATTAATAGTTTTAGTAGTAGTTTTTATTTAATATTAGCTTTTACCCGCGGCTTCGATCGCGTCACAAAAGGATAAAAAGTAGCCTATGTGACATATACCAATACACGTAGCGCCATCTATACCAATACTTTTGTTTTCCCTCGGGAATATAAATTTTTTCCGGGATAAAAAGTACCCTATTATTTAATCCAGACTTCTAACTTTACGTCTGCAAAAATTCAAAGCAATCGGTGTAGTAGTTACGGCGTGAAAGCGGAACAAACAAACAAACAAACTCACTTTCCATTTTATAATATTAGTAAGAATAAAAAAGTAATCTAATCTCCAAATACTCAAACGCTACTAAATTTTAAGTAGCGCTTTAGAATAGTTCTGTCTCTACAAATTCTTTGTACAATGACAGGGATGGCACTATATTTAAGTACAACTTATAACCTTTCAGTATACGGGGGTTTCTATCATATCTCTCATATCTTTAAGTGTGGGACTCATGCTTCGGCACGAATGGGTCGGAGTGATACCACGGCCTCACAGACAACCGACGTGAAACAACACTTGCGTTGTGTTTCGTCGTGAGTGAGGTTACCGGAGGCCCAATTACTCCCCTCCCTAGTCTCCCGAATCCCCGAATCCTCTATAATACTCAAATTCCCAATTCCCAAAAGGCCGGTAACGCACTTGCAACGCTTTGGTGTTTTGGGTGTCCATGGGCAGCGCCGATTGCCTACCATCAGGTGATACGTCTGCTCATTCACCGGCCTATGCTATAAAAAAAATCTTAAGTCATTACATTCGATATTCTTGTTTGAAAGTTTTGAAATGCATTATATTATATTTTCTTACAGTCTGTGGAGGTCCCCCATACGCCAGGCGCCACCCCTCTTAAAACGCTCGGAGATGCTGTGCAAATCAGGTAAAATACAATATTCACCCTTGATTCCCTTTATAGTACTTACCATCGTCGCACTACTAGACCAACAACAAAGCGTCAACGCTTTATGGCAACGGCTGCCATGCATGATTGACATCTCGTTATCAGACAATCAGTATAGTTTCACTGTATGCGTAACGCGCTAACTATTGTTGTATTGAAAATAAATTCATACAAACAATACCTGATTTTAATGAAAAGGTGATTCAAAAGTGACGTCGCATAGATTTAATGTATACAATATACATATTTATATAAATTTTTGTTTTATTGCTTTTTGTAATTTTAATATTTTAGTAAAGTTCACCACCAATTTGATCTCCTAACAGCCGCCACTGATCCCACCTACACACCCGAAGCGTTTCAACACAAGTTTCTTCATAAGAATTGAAAGAAAAAAAGAAGGAACAAGAAAAATTCATTGTTTTACACTTTCAAAACAAGTGACGCGTACAGATTATAGATGTGTTAGTTACAGTACAGTTTAACATGACAGTTAAACCGTTCAATTCCGTCTATCCTTTTGTTTGACGAAAATGTTGGAATTGGTCTGTTCTATAACCCCATACGAGATTGTAGTCTAATTATAAATATTGTATATCATTTTTTTTAACGTTGCCCCACACTAGGATTTCCTCCTGTGTCGTGTGTGCGTTTACAAACATACAAGTTCACATACACATGACACACAGACCCGAAACAACAATTTGTGGATCACACAAAGAGATGTTCCGTGCGGGAATCGAACCCGCGACACATTGCGCGGCAGCCAGTGGCCCAGCCACCGCGCCAACAGTGAAGTCATTGATGATAATGATGCTAGTGATGTTGATGTTGCAGGACGTGGCAGATGTACGGGCTGCCCCGGGACCCGATGTCCGTGGAGTCGGCGGTGCTTATGTCGAACTCCCGCCGCTGGCCGCTCATCATAGATCCTCAGACGCAAGCCAATAAGTGGATCCGAGCCATGGTAATTCTCTATTTAAACTAGCTTGTGCCCGCGACTTCGTACGCGCAATCCTGTTTTCTCCCTCCTTTTTTCATAATTTTGTCATAAGAACCTTCTCGTGATCATAAAAAACGTAAAAATATTAGCCAAATCGGTCCAGCCGTTCCCAAGTTATGGCGTGACAACAGGAAACGGGTTTCATTTAAATATATATACTATCGGACCCAACAGACGTTGTCCTGCATATCCACTTGAATGTATAAACAAAAATTCATTCGTATTAGTTCAGCTGTTTAGGATAAATAACCTAAATATCGACTGCAGCGCCATCAGCCGGGCTGATTTGTGAATCTAAACCATTCCCAGATCCCCTTGAACACACACAAAAAATTTAATCAAAATCGGTCCAGTCGAGAGAAGTTCAGTGACATATGTCGGAATACTGAAACGTTACTCAATTTTAAGTCGTACTCAAATATCGTGCCAACTCTGTCATTTTACAAAGAATTTGTAGAGACAGAACTATACTTAAGCGCGACTTAAAATTGAGTAACGTTTCAGTATTCGGGCAATACACACTCACACAAGAATTATATATATATAAAGATAGATATAGAAGATAGAAGATACAAGAATAATAATATGATAATTTTATACCTTTTATATGAATATGTTGCCATTCGGACTAATAACTTAATTTAGAAAGTGTTCTTCATTTTTTTTTCCTTCTTTGACAACCGGGTCTCCAAAACAGTGTTGTCGAGTGTCCCAACAATATTATGTATAACAGAGACATTGAAAAAAGGCGGACTTAATGTCACTTAGAAATGATTGAAGCGCCAAAATGTCAGTGGTTTATTTATGTGTGCGGGTCCAGCCATTCTCAAGTTATGGCGTGACAATGGGAAACTGTTCTAGTAGATTAGATAGTGACGAACTAGTCAGCTGATTTCCATTTTCATTCTCAGTACACGTGGAAAGAGATAGCAATTGTTTTCATTGACTAAGCGACGCATCGCGCGTTATTTGTTAACCACATTATGCAGAATGTAGTCAATGTTTACTTAATTTCTTTATGTTCTCAAATTTAATTAACTGGTCCGGGGTACGAAATTTCTTCACTATTGTAATTTGTAAACATAACACTACCTCCCATTAAAGCCGTGGCAGTTAATTATATAGCACCTTATATGTATACACATATATAGATTTTCAAAAAAATTACGGTAGACAGACCTGTACCTGTATATGTAAACATAGCTCTCACACACATGCCACCCTATTACATGGGACTCATAACATAAATAGTGAAAAGTGGGTGTTACATTGTACAGTGACATAATGTGCACCTCTGCCCACCTCTTCGGGGATAAAAGGCGTGATGTTATGTAGCTCTCACACACCATTGAAATACTTTTCAGGGTAAATTGGAAGGTTTAGTCGTATGCAAGCCAAATGACAGAGATTTACTAAGGAACTTCGAGTCTGCACTCAGATTCGGCAAGCCAATACTACTGGAGAATGTAGGAGAAGACATAGACCCAGCCTTAGATCCTGTATTAAAGGTAAGAGTACATTTTAATTGGATTTTTAACTGTATTGTTTTGATATAAAGTTGAAAATCGAATGAAAAAAGCTAGATATAGATATAGGAGAAGGTTTATGAACTGACCTCGTATATTTATACAACTGTCGTTTTGACAGTTCGAAAAAAGTATTGTATTTCATTAGTTGATAAGTACCTAATATTCTTAAAATTTTGCAAACATAGATGAGAGTACGGAGAAGTACGTAGATTAAATATAGTAGTAGACAGGGTATGAAAATTAAAAATCTAATTAGTCCGTTAGTTAGTCAGTGGATAAGAGTAACCTATGGAGTTTCTTGCTCGTTCTTCTCCATAGGAAATTACACCTTGGAATGAGCAAATAGCTTCATTTTAAATTTTTTGTTGACGTTCAAATGTGCCTTCCTGATCTAAAATGATTCTGACTTAGATAATCAGATAGTGTTATGCCGGAATACTGAAACGTTACTCAATTTTAAGTCGTGCTCAAATATCGTGCCATCTCTGTCATTTTACAAAGAATTTGTAGAGATAGAACTATACTTAAGCACGACTTGAAATTGAGTAGCGTTTCAGTATTCCAACATTAGACGCGTATTTTTTATTTTGTGTTTTAAAGTTACTATCTTTAGATAATACATAGTAAATCGTGACGTCACACGATATTTCACATCTATGTATGTATTGTCAAAAGTATTTAATTTTGTGAGATAAGGTTAAAATACGTGTGTAATGTTGTAAAATAATCTGCCAGACAAACATTAAAAAAATTAGGAGACTACCCTATTCACGCGGGCGTAACTGCGGGTAAATACTATACTACACTTAACATAAACTGTATGTTTCTCGCAAGAGCTAAGCAACATAATATACAAACAGTTTTATTTTATTCCAGCGTCAATATTTCCGTCAAGCGGGTCAATTAGTGCTGAAATTAGGGGACTCCCTGATTCCATTTATGGCTGGTTTTAAGCTGTATATCACTACTAAGCTGCCGAACCCCAAGTATAAGCCTGAGACCTCCGTAAAAGTTATGGTCGTGAACTTTGCTCTGGTACCCAGGTAAAACTACTTTCTTCTGTAGAAACTAGCTACTCAATCTGGCTTTGGTTTATTTTTAGCGTTTATCTATTACTAGCTACTTCCGCGCAGTTTCACACTTTCTGCTCAGCTCCTATTGGTCGTAGCGTGATGTTTTATAGCCATTATCCATCACATCAGTTAAAACACTAGTTGATCGAAAGAAACTAAAATGCAAAATGTAACTTGTTCGCATTACGTAAAAGTGCAGTTTTGAACGGCGATTCCCGCTCAGAGCAACTCTTTGTGTGATCTACAAAGAGTTGCTCCCTATTGCTGTTCCGAGTCTGGGTGTCATGTGTATGTAAACTTGTATGTATGTAAACGCACCCACGACACAGGAGAAAAACCGAGTGTCGGGCAAAGTTTAAAGAAAAAAATAATAAGAGTCCCGTAGTCACTTGAAACTTGTCGAGCTGTTCTTACGAGTGAGAAAGCCGTTATTTTAAATTAATTTAATACCTATCACAAGTTATTATACAAAAATATATTTGTATCTTTAAAAAATTACAGTGGTCTAGCAGAACAGCTCCTATCGATCGTGGTGGCTCAAGAACGACCTGATCTTGAAGAACAGCGCGGTCAGCTGATCGTATCTCGAGCACAAATGGCTTCCCAACTTGCTGAGATGCAGGCAGACATCTTGTACGGTCTCTCTAACAGTGTTGGCTCGCCTGTGGACGACGTACCGCTTATCTTGACTCTTGAGGCCATTAAAATCAAGAGTGCTGAGATTCTTGTAAGTAGTTTGTCATCTTCATCAATCAAACTCTAAACTCCAATCGCCAATAATTGCTAATCTCATTTTGCGATCGATCTTTTGTCATTGTCAAAATATTGTGGCAACTATCTATTATAAAACGATGCCATATCTCTTAGCTGAAAGTTATAACTACATAACATAACATCACGCCTTTTATCCCCGAAGGGGTAGTCAGAGGTGCACATTACGGCACTTAGTGCCACTGTTCAATGTAACACCCACTTTTCACTATTTATGTTATGAGTCCCATGTAATAGGGGGGTGAGTCTATTGCCATATACCGGGCACAATTCCAGGCTCCGTGCTAATATAACGATTTTTTTAAAGTTAGCTAACTAGTAATAGTTATAAATAGCTATAGTGATAATTAGTTACATACGCATAGGGATTTGTCTTTTGTTTTTATAGGTAAAAGTAGAAGACATAGAGCGTACAACGTTAGAGATAGACGAAGCTCGCAGCGGCTATGTACCAGTGGCCGACCGCGGGTCTATTCTATTCTTCTGTCTGTCTGACATGGCCAATGTCGATCCAATGTACCAATACTCTTTAGAATGGTTCGTCAAACTTTTTGTAAGGGCTATGGCGGAAACTGAACCTAATGGTAAGGACATTACGACGAAAGTCTTTTAACAGTTAGTGATTACAAATCGAGAAATAGACTATGTATTTTTCCGTTTATTTTTATCAAGACTTTGTTGTTCTCGTGGTCATGTCGCGACGATGGTGCATAGGCCGGGGGACTTCGGTTCGATCTCATATCGAGAATATATTATTATTTTCAACAGTAATCATCTCTCCTACTCCTTCCAACTGCGATATGTGGTTTTCTCTAATGTGGGAATGCGTATGAGCAAAGAAGTACTAGAGTTTCATGGTTATACTGAAAACGAAATATATGAAATCTACAAAATAATAACGAATTGCTGAGTGTTGGTAAGCGCAAATCTCGAGAACAGCTGAACCGAATTTGCTGATCCTTTTTTGTTGCGTATGTTATTGTTAGGAGAAGGTTCTTGTCTATGAAAAATATGTTAGGAGAATATCTTATGTATTAACAAAGATGAGCAGTAAAAAATTTAATGTAAAACAGAGTTCGTGGGGTCCAAAATTGTCTTTCTTTTTCAGAGGATATAGTGGAACGTGTAGACGTGATAATAGTACACTTTACGTTCATATTATACCAAAACGTTTGCCGCAGTCTGTTTGAGCGTCACAAGTTATTGTTCGCGTTCTTACTGTGTGCGCGTATACTATTGGATAAGGGTGTCATTCGATATGATGAGTTCAATTTCTTACTCAATGGAGCGAACCTGGACACCGTAAGTGATCCTTTGTGTCAATTTATAGTCATAACGTAACCTTTAGCTACTGAGGCCTCGGTACGAGTTTGTTTTACGTTGTAAGTAATCGAAACGAGTACGCGTTCGGCGTTCTGATTGGCCGGCTCCAATGAACCAACCAATCAGAACGCTGGACGAGGTTTCGTTTTGATTATTTTAAACGAAAAAGAAACTCGTACTAAGCCCTCTGAGGTGGAATTTAATTCACGTAAACACTGACGTGAACATTACATATTTTTATTAAAAATCACTTAACGTCGTAAACAATTTATTATTAATCAAAATTATTAAAAAAATACACGGCTAGTAATAGTCCTTCTGTTAACATATTACCTAACATCACTAGGTTTCTGTCCACGGCATTGATTTCTTGGCGAAATCCTTAAATCTATTTTGAAGCGATGGCTAGGAACTCGATTATCACGCAACGTGTTCGGGTCCGATTCTCGCACGCAACAACTGTTTGTCATCCACTAATTGTTGTTCCGTGTCTGGGTGTAAGTGTAATGTATATGAAATGTATGATTGGAAAACCACCCATGACACAAGAAAATACTAGGGAAATGCAACCTAGGTAAAAATACTAATATTTTAGTTTTAGCTAACGTACCACCTGACGGTAAGCAATCGGTGCTGACCATGGACACTCGCATCATCCTATAGTTTACAAATGGAATTCCAAGTATTTTAAAAGGTCAGAAGGGAAGGATTAGGCCTCCAGTAACGTGACACACGGCGAAACAACTTAATTACGTGAACGTTGTTTCACGCCTGTTTTTTTTGTAAGGCCGTGATATCTCTCTGAAGAATATCCAACAGCTTTTTGATGGAAAGGAGAAGGATCACAATCCATATAAAATTTATCGTCAGCGTCCTATTACAAAGTGACATACATACATACATAACTTCACGCCTGTCTCCCATGGGGTTAGGCAGAGACTAAGGAACGCCAGTTATTACGATTCTTACATACCTACCTCTTTCGCTATAATTCAAAGTGACCTATCCCAATTTTGATCATTCAATGAGGGGCATTCTTAATTTTTATTTCATTTGTTTGTTTTTAATTTTATCTGTGTGTTTGATGCATTATGCCCAATGGCATTATATTTTTTCTTTCTTTCGATATTGATCCATCCTCTTCCTGACGTTGAAATTATTATCTTAGGAAGAACCGAATCCGGATCCGAAGTGGATATCTCCAAGGGTGTGGCTGGAGATACAGCAGTTGGGCACTGTTACCACAATGAAAGCAATTGTACAGGACTTCACGAATCAAGCCAAGTTCTTCAGAACATTTTACGACTCTCACATTCCACATAAGTTCGTGTTCCTTTCTTTCCTTTCGTAAAAATGGAGATTTTGGGGTACTTAGTTAGATTAACCTCCTCCTCCAGACGGCATTGGTTATTTTTTTTATCGATCTCTTTGACTGTATTTTAGTGTTACATTGTTCTCGCACAATCCAAACAACAAAACTATTTAACTAGAGAATTGTATTGTGAACCTGATTGAAAAACAGTAACAAGGAGTTTCTTGCTCGTTCTTCTCCATAGGAATCTACACCTTGGAATGAGTAAATAGCTTCACTTATTTTTTTATTGACATTCAAAAGTGCCTCACTGGTCTAATTGAAATAAATGATTTTGACTTTGACTTTATTTCATAGAATAAGTTAAGTCATAATTTTTGAAGATAATTTAATATTTAATTGATTTACATATAAGATTTTTTCAATTGCAAGTGTAATGACCAAAAAGGGTCACTAGTTCGATTCCTAGGTCTTTGAAATTATTGATCTATATCAATTATTTAAATTTATTCAGCAATATTTTTACTATTACAGGTTGCCGTACCCAAAACCGTTGGATAGTCAGTACGATCATTTCCAGAAACTACTCATCCTAAAATGTCTTCGGCCTGATAAGATCATACCAGGGTTCCAGGTAAATTAGTCTTAAATCTTAAACTGATTTTTTTTTAATTATTGTAATGTCAACTAAAATAACAACTGGATACATCACTAGTTAGTTAAGTTATTAGTTAGTTTAGGTTGGTGCCAACACTAAATTAAAAAGGTAGATGTGTAAGTTGTGTGAACAGTAGTGTCCTATTAAAACAAGATAATTTATTTATTTATTTATTTGGACATCCAGTTGTTGCTACATTTTTATCATTAACTTAACTCGTCGAGTACCGTCATTATAGACACAATTATAGAACAATAGGTTGCGGTCACCGGTGACCGCTTGGTGTTTGACAGTTTAAAATGAGGAATTAACATCTTACTGCTAATGCACAACATTTGAAGGACATCACAGCATGCGTTGAGTTGAGAACACTATATCAATTAAATTAAATTTATCTAATTTCTCTACATTACCAAATTTGCAATAAATAAGAATTATATAATTAGTAACAAGTTTTGTTATTACTCATTATACATTATAATTATGAATACAACATCTTGTATTCAAATCACAACAGTAATATTATTGATATAATTTCTGTTAAACCCTTGTTTGATAAACAGATTTTTAATGAACTCGTCGAGTACCGTCATTATAGACACAATTAAAGAACAATAGGTTGCGGTCACCGATGTCCTCGCGGTGTTGGACAGTATAAATCGTTTAGTTATTTCGACCTTTAATCCTACTAATAAAGTTTGTTAGGATGTATGTGTGTGTGTATGTGGGATTGTATGGCAAAATAATCGAACACTATTAATTGAAACTTTTATTTCAAACACGTTAATAAAAATCAGCGTTACATCGACCGTGGCTGTTTTTCGTAACTCCTTATCGCCATTCCTCTCCTTTCTCTCTCGCACACATACTTGTCTCTTTCTTTCATCCGCTGCGTTCCGTTTTAACAATCCGATAATCTGCGTTCTTAAATTACTAAATAGGTACAATGTTTATCCCACATGTATATGTTTGTCTGTGTTTGCTCCACGTCAAAATGGCTGAAAGGATCGGGATGAAATATGAAACAAGCGTAAGTTATGTTCTGGTATAGCACATAGTACCACTTTTATCCCACGGGAAGACCGCGGGCGGAGCCGCTGGCAGAAGTTAGTATCCTAAAATTAAATGAAAAATGTGATTATTTTAAAATACTTTAATGGAAGAAAATAGGTTTTCTTTAATTTTGAATTGATTACTATACATAAATTGCCTCGTTGGTCCAGTGGTCGTAAGTGCGACCGCCGGGAAAGGGTCTCGGGTTCGATTCCCGGGTCGGGCAAAGTATTACTGGGTTTTTTAAGTATTCTCAGTAGTAACTCGGAGTCTGGAATTGTGCCCGGTATATGGCAATAGGCTCACCCCCTATTACATGGGACTCATAACATAAATAGTGAAAACATTGTACAGTGGCATAATGTACACCTCTGCCTACCTCTTCGGGGATAAAAGGCGTGATGGTATGTTATTTTCTTTACATAATAATACCAGTTTTTTATGGGAAATGCCGTCAAACGAGCATTTTAATCATCTTCTGGTAAGCATTTGGTGTCGCCAATGGACACTCGACACATCAGAGTAGTTACAAGTGCGTTGCAGGCTTTCTTGGGGTTAGGGATTTAAGAATGGGGGCTTTTAGGATTGGGAAGATTGGCGAATTGGGGCGCCGGTAACATTACTGACACGGCGATACAGAACGTAAGCATTGTTTCACGGCAGTTTACTGTGATGGCGTGGTATCACCGGTCGAGCTGACTGATACGTGCCGAATCTTAGCTATCCCACACTTGAGTATGTAAGAGATGGTTATCATTCAGCCTTTACTCAGCAGTGGCGGTCTTTGAGCTTATGATGATGCACTTGTGTTCCAGGACTATGTTATGATAGGCCTGGGAGCCAGGTTCGTGGAGCCCCAACCAGCAGACCTGGCGGCTCTCTACGCCGAGTCAGATCCTCTTGCACCCATTATCTTCGTGTTATCTACCGGAACTGATCCTGCAGCTGGTGAGTGGAAAACAGAACTTTAATACGATGTAATAGAGTTGATTTCTCATTGGTACTGGATAATAATTTTTATTATGAATATTGAAAATGATGGATAAAGCATATGATCACGTTTAATAATAATAATATATGACTGCACGGTTGGTGTGGTGGCTGGGCAAACGGCTGTCGTGCATCGTGTCGCAGGTTCGATTCCCGCACGGAACAACTCTTTGTGTGATCCACAGATTGTTGTTCCGGGTCTGGTAATGTGTATGTGAACTTGTATGTTTGTAAACGCACCCACGTCACAGGAGATAAACCTAGTGTGGGGCAACGTTTAAAAAAAAATCCAAAAAATATTATGTGCATCTTATACTCAGAAACAGTACGGAATTGGGTACGTTCGTTTAAAAAAAATATATTTCGACTGTTCTATACAATAAAATATAAAAAAATAATCACACTTTCTTTAATTGATTTCATGACCAACCAAATTTTAGTATATTTCCAGTAATTTTTAAGAAATAAATATGCTGTTTGACGCTTAAAAACATGACGTCACTATACACAATCTCGTACCTACAAAATTCATAGGAAACTGTCGTTTTTGACAGTTAGAAAAAGTATTGAATTTGACTAGTTGGTAAGTACCCATTTGCACCTGATAAAATTACCAGTTATATTATGAGTAACATGTAATACCCGCAACACTAGAGATTTTACAAGTGCTTGGTAATTTCACACGACAAAACACAAAGCAAGTGTGGTTCCACGCCGGTCTTCTGTAAGGCCGTGGTTTTATTTCGTTCAAGCCGGTCTTGAAATGCCGAAGCATGGGGATGCATGTAACATTTCCTTTCAAATTCTAGATTTATTAAAGTTTGCGGAGAAGATGAAGATGGGCAAGCGTTTTGACAGTATTTCCTTGGGTCAGGGTCAAGGGCCGCTGGCTGAAACTATGATGAGAGTCGGCTGTGACTTCGGAAACTGGGTGTTCTTTCAGGTATAGACTGACTACAGATTTATAACTTTATCGTTTCGAACGACACTTTAATATGATAGGAATAACATCATACTATAGAGTCTAATGTTAGACTATGGACCTCTTTTACCCCAACCTCAGACTTGGCTGGTTCTCGTTTGTGAGAGATCGCTGTTTTCCATCTCTGTTGAGTAGGTCTACGACACCCACGACATGAAAGACAAATGTATTCTACTCTGCCAAGCCAATAATTCTAGGCATTTTTGAAAAATAATTCTGTTGCTCACAGAATTGCCACCTGTCTCCATCATGGATGCCAGTTTTGGAGCTGAATGTGGAACATATCCAACCTGAACTGGTCCATAAAGATTTCCGTCTATGGCTTACTTCTACACCATCACCCCACTTTCCGGTCGCTTTACTGCAGAATGGTGAGATTTTAGAATTACAAACTTGTTCTGTCAGGCTACTAAAATAGATCCCATTAGGTAGACTGACGTCATTGTTAGAGTAACCAGGAACAAATGGATGCAAGTGACGAGTTGTCGTTCGACGTGGAGGACTAAGGGGGAGGCCTTTGATCAGCAGTAGACGTCTTCTAGCTGTAGCTCATGATGATGATGAATTAGTTTATGACAAGTCGATATAGCTCCCAAAACACTGAGAAAAAGAAAATAATTTTTACAATATTAACGTTTTACAATATAAATGTTTCTCAACTGTATTATGCATGTATTATACATATGTATAAACATTGCTGAAGAATCACTGTTATCTATTAAAAAAAACGCATCGAAATCCGTTGCGTAGTTTTAAAGATCTAAGCATACTGTCCCTAACAAACAACAAAGTAATTTTATACTATGTAGTGATTCTAATTATAGAACATTTTAAAATCATCATAATCACAAGTAAGTTGCCTCGATTGGCTCCGTAGAGTAAAGTACTTCGCATTATCTTTCTAGGTTACAAAATGACAGTGGAGCCACCGAGAGGCATAAAAGCGAACTTGCTAAAGGCCTACATGAATCAAGTACCTGATTTCCTCGAATACTTCAACTCACAGGATCCTAAAGTCCCCAATTTTAAGGTCCGTTTTTATAATTTTCACTAATATGTTTTTTTATGGCATAAGCCGGTAAACGAGCAGACGGATCATCTGATGGGACACCTGGAACATCAGAGGCGTTATAAGTGCGTTACCGACCTTTTGGGGATTAGGAGTTTGAGGATCGTTGGGGATTTAGGGATTGGGGAGATTGGAGAAGGGGAGGGTAATTGTGCCTCCGGTATTATGAATGAAAATGATACATACATATCGAATTATGTAATAAAATCTAAGAATCTGAATTACATACACTTTTAATTGTTATATCACAATGAAACTCGCCAATTATGTGTAGATTAGATGACCATACAATATTATCATACTATAGAGCTGCTTTGATGATGGAATTGGAAGGTGGCTGATGCAACCTTGGACTGACAACAAAACATGTCGAATTTGATCTCAAAAGTTATTTGAAACAGTCACAGTTTTCATACAACAACGCAATGCGCGCTTTAACTTCCAATTCGAGTGTACGTTATATCTCTTTGCTCGGGAAACTACTAATCTGTCACATATGCCAGTGTCAGCATGACAGCTAGTGCTACAGATAACACAGAATAAACTAGTGACGTTCAATTGCGTCAGAAGACTTAAAGGATACTCAATTTTAAGTCGCGTTTAGGTATATTTCTGTATCTACAAATTCTCTGTACAATAACAGAGACATTACATTACATCACGCCTTTTATCCCCGAAGGCGTAGGCAGAGGTGCACATTATGCAACTGTACAATGTAACACCCACTTTTCACTATTTATGTTATGAGTCCCATGTAATAGGGGGTGAGCCTATTGCCATACAACGGGCACAATTCCAGACACCGTGAGATTTTTTTAAAAATCCAGTAATACTTTACCCGACCCGGGAATTGAATCCGAGCCCCTTGCCCGGCAGTTGCACTTGCAACCACTCGGCCAACGAGGTAGTCACGATCACGACATTATTGACAGAGAAGTATTTCAGTAAGTATTCGGGCGTTAGTTGAATTTTGTCGTCTAGGAGTTCATACGCATTTTGCGAGTAGCCACATTACGGCTAGCCGCTCGGCTGACCGGAGTCAACGTGCGGTTCAAGAACCGTTGCGATTTGCGATCATGTCGATCCATTTCAAAGATGGACGTGGAAGAAGTTTCAGCTATTTACAACATACACACGTTACATAAAAAAGAAAAAACAAAGAAAGAAGTACTGGGTGCATCCTTATTTGCAAACACGAGAGAGCAAGCATCGAATTCCATTTTTCCAGACGTACCACGTGCACACACTCGCTCAATGGCGGGCAGCCGCAGACTGAACCGCACAGTGCGTATGCGGTCAGCCGGACGGCTAACCACATTGCGGCTACCCGCATAGTGCGTATGAACCCTTATATTAGAGTTAGATAGATCCTTTTCTCCTGACATTGAAGACGTATAACTCAGTGTTTTTATTTTACTTTTTAAACTACTTTTATTTTTCTTGTAGTGGCTTCTGTTCTCCCTCTGTCTGTTCCACGGCGTGGTGATAGAGCGTCGTAAGTTTGGACCTCTTGGCTTCAACATACCTTATGACTTCACCGATGGGGACCTCAGGATATGCATTTCACAGCTCCACATGTTCCTTAATGAATATTCGGAAGTACCTCTTAGGGTAAGAGCCTTTTAAGAACATACACATAAAATGTCATGCATGCATGACTGTACGGTTAGCGCGGTGGCTGGGAAACTGGGTGACGCGTGACGTGTCGCGGCCTCGATTCCCGCACGGAACAACTCTTTGTGTGATCCACAGATGTTGTTTCGAGTCTGGGTGTCAAATGTATGTGAACTTGTATGTTTGTAAACGCAACCACGACACAGGAGAAAATCCTAGTTTGGGGCAAAATTATTAAATTATTAAAAAAATATCATCGAATGGATAGCGAAGGTGCAAATACTATAACACACTTTTCATACGTTATGTTATGAGTTTCATATGATAGGGGGTCAAACTCATACTGAGTATTATTCTCCGTGATTTTAATGACAAATTTTCGGAAAACGGAAAAAATCACTCACTTCGTCGCACCTGGGAATCAAACCCATAATGTGACGTACTTTGCGCTCACACTGTCAATGAGATTATACATACCTACATAACTTCACGCCTGTCTCCCATGGTCTCTGTCTCTCACAGATTCTTACATACCTCTGTCGCTTCATCAACAATCATCAATCTTTCCATGCATGCTCGTCGGTTAAGGGTACTTTTAATTTGGCCCTTCTTTAATATATCGCCAATTTGGTCACTATATGTCCGTCTAGGCCGCCCTCTACGGACGGCCCCATTCATATCCGCTCTGTATACTTCTTTCGTTACTCTACTTTCATCCATCCTTTCTACATGTCCAAACCAGCGTAACATTCCCTTTTCAATCCTTGTCACTACTTTTTACAGATGTTACCAATATTTACAGATGTTGACATATACAGCTGGACATATCAACTACGGCGGTCGGGTGACCGACGATTGGGATCGTCGATGCCTATTGTGTTTGCTAGCAGACTACTATACTTTGACCGTTCTTACTGATCGGTACGTTTATGATGAGAGCGGGGCATACAAACAGGTTAGTAGGGAAATATTATACCTATTTTTTTTACAGGGTGGCAAACCGAATAACCTAGGTAGCCTAGGTAGTAAGCAATCTACGCAGCTACGTAAAAACAAAATAACATATCGTTGATTAAATGGAAAAATGGCATTTTTAATTTTTTTTTGGAACATAACATTACTACATAGACTTTGTCAAGCGAGTCTAGTCCCATGAAAAAGGCAGCAAATTCAAAAATCTTTCAGGTGATACTTGAATTTTTGATAATAACAAAACATATTTGAAATAAATAAAATATTATTAGAAATCAGAAGCAGGTTGAATTTTTTAAAAAGGACAATTTATTACGTTAAAACTAAAATTAAAATAATTACACAATTATCCAAAAATTAATGACACAATCATAAAAAAGAACAAATTCTTAAATAAACAAAATGACAACAATCTACCCTCGCTAAATATACAAAATTACAAAACAAAACCTGAATGTATGTTGCACGACGGATGGTGACCGAGTAGGGCCAAGGCGCCGGTATTCCGCCGCTTATATAGTAACTGTCATCCTAACCCCACTCTTAACCTAAGTAATATCCAACAATATATATATATCAATAAGTTTTCAGCGTGCTATATCAGTGTTGACACCTGAAAGATTTTTGAATTTTCCGCCTTTTTCATGGGACTAGACTCGCTTGACAGACTCTAAAACGTACGTCTACTAACAAAGTCATTTCTTATATTTTAAAACGACACTTAAATAGTTCACGCCAAGTTCACTAGATGTCGCAAGTGTCGTTTCGATTCAAACGAATTTTAATGAAATTAAAAACTTTATACGCTAAACTGTGAAATTTCTCCTTTCTGTGTACGAGGTGTAAGGTAAGGTAGACGATCAAACGCATTCGTGACCGTAAAAGTTTGTTGCTTATAAAGAGTTCAGAGCACTTTCTTAATGTTTAATGTTAAAAATGTTAGAAATGTCAATGTTTATGTTATTGATGAATGCACCCGTTCTGTTCGCGATCGACAAGTACACTGATGTCTCGTATGTTCATGTTAACTGTTTCAGTCTTGGTGGTCACTGTAACTAACCACCTTTTCTTAGAAATTCAATTTTTGAAGTATGCTTCAAATTACTTTGCATTGGTTTTTAAGCATTTCAGTATAATTAAATGAAATATATTCGTAACCAGGTGACTGAAAGAGTTAAAACAATACTTGAATACTGCTTCGCAAGCAGTTGTTCGGGTTTACACCGAACCGAACATTCTGATTTACGTAATTTTTCTATTAAACCGAAGATATTTATATCATTTAAGTTATTCCCAAAAGAAGTTTGTATAAGAAAATGTTTTTTTTTTAAATTGTGTTTAACGCCATCTATGTTTTGCTTTTATAATATTTTAATTATAGAAAGATGATACAAGAGGTCGCTATTGAGTTGAGTCTAGCACATTAATAATAATATTCGAGCAGGGTACTGTTAAGTGATAAACTATTATAATAAGGGTTTTATGTTACCAGCAATCAGCATCGGCGAACATTGATGACTACACGAAGTATATTCGTACTCTGCCTTTGAACGATGATCCCGCCCTCTTTGGGTTGCACGCCAATGCTAATATCAGTTACGCTAATGCTGAAACCACGACATGTCTTAGTAAGTACCACATAATAATTGTCAAAACTTCTGTACTTCGCGTAAAAACCTCGGTGCTCAAAGGTAAACCTTCAAATAATGTTTACAACGAGCATGAAGCAAAGCCGTGTTATATGGATAATTTGAATGTCTATCTTGGCTTGAACAGATTTAACAGAATGTCGGTCACGATTTCTGGTGTCGAGTAGTTCTCTGTTTGTCATAATAGTTCTGTTAATCGAAACTAGATGGCGCTATTGTTATAAAAGAGTCCTGCTTACTATTAAAGTACTACGCATTGTGTACATACCTACATACAAACAGTAGAGAATATACTCTGAACTTTGAACCTCATCTATAAAATAGGGGTAATAATATCAGTACTCACTTAGTAGTATTACGACACTTGTTGGTAGAGAGTTGGTGGCGATGGCGACAAACTTTGCCTTCATCACATGACTTAAAGTAAAAAGTGTAATAATGCGACTCGTTGGCCAAGCGGTCGCAAGTGCGATTGCCGGACAAGGGGTCTCGGGACGGGCAAAGTACCTATTACTGGGTTTTAAAAATTCTCAGTAGTAGCACGGAGTCTAGAATTGTGCCCGGTATATGGCAATAGGCTCACCCCCTATTATATGGGACTCATGACATTGTAAATAGTGAAAAGTTGGTGTTACATTGTACAGTGGCATTAACTGCCCTAATGTGCACCTCTGCCCACTCGTTCGGGGATAAAAGGCGTGCTGTTGTGTTATGTTATGTAATAATGCGAATTGTTGTGAAGCCACGCTTCGAGACCTGCAACCGAAGGAGGCTGTGGCTGCAGGCGGTGCCTCCATAGAGACTATCATCGAACAGGCTGCTAAGGACATCATCAAAATGTTACCTGAGCTTCTCGATACCGATCACATCTCCAAAACGTAAGAACTTTATGTATATTTACGAATTTGTATCAATTTAGTGCTCCTACACAAAATTGCGATGCGATGCGATGCGAATTCGCAACGCAAACAATTACGATGCGAATTGCTGCGATGCTATTTCGATTCTTAAGGGATACGCCTTGTCGCACGAAATTGGTGGCAGCTAAAACGTCATTTTTACGTATAAAACATTCATAGAAGTGACGTTACGCGATATATCAAATCAATATATCGTCGAAAGTATTTGTTTCTGTAAGAACATCAAAAATACATGTTAATGTTTTAAAACAATATACCAGACGGACATTAGAATAATAATCAGTCATCTACCCTACGAAAAGTAAACAAAGCTTACAATATTTAAGTACATTATCCAGTAATACAGAAATCGGCGATGAATATTCACAATCTCCCCAATTCCTGAATCCCCAACGATCCTCAAACTCCTAATACCCAAAAGGCCGGCAACGCACTTGTAACGCCTCTGGTGTTCCAGATGTCCATGGGCGACGTTGGTTTACCGGCTTACGGCATACAAAAAAAAAAATCATCATCATCATCAACAGCCGAAAGACGTTCCCTTCTGGACAAAGGCCTCCCCCTTGGTCCTCCACGTCGAACGACAACTCGCCACTTGCATCCACTGGCTCCCCGAAATTCTGGCGGTCGGTTCACCTAGCGGGAAGCCTGTCCACGCTTCGTCTTCCGGTCCGTGGTCTCCACGCAAGGACTTTCCTGGCCCATCTACCGTCAGTCCATCCAGCGACGTGGCCTGCCCATTGCCACTTCAGTCATCGACTTTTGGAAAGAGACAATCGATCATGTAGCTGCGTATACTGCTCCTGATTATAAATAAAAAAAAGCGTCATATTTCGTAGCAAAAGAAAACCTAAATAACAATTTTTTTTTTATTAAATTTAACCTATTTTATTTCTTGTTTGATTAATTTCAAATGTATTTGAAGTTTTAAATGTTTTGTTCAGTATTTAGTTTGTTTTCCAGAACCCCTCTTCGGGTAAGGCCTCCTCCAATGATTTCCATTGCTCCCTATTCAAGGCTTTCTCCTCCTGATTATGAATCGCTAAAACTAGTCGAGAACTCACCTCGAATCATAAAAAAACACAAATAAATTATAGTAAAATCGAACGAAATGGTCGCTCTCCAAACATCGATGTGCACTATTTATCGCTAGATACTGTGTTTCGAGTTTGCGAGTTTGAATCCAACATTAAATAAGATAATTATTGCTTGACAGATATCCAGTGTCGTACAAAGAATCTTTGAACACTGTATTGATACAGGAAGCTAATCGCTATAACAAGCTGCTGGGCGTCATAAAGACTTCTTTGCAGTAAGTTTTTAATGTAACGATCTTATTTAACTCGTCGAGTACCGTCATTATAGACACAATTATAGAACAATAGGTTGCGGTCACCGGTGACCGCTTGGTGTTTGACAGTTTAAGTCATGTCGAAATTATTTATTTTAATTAAACCAGGAAAATACTTTTCAACGTCAACAAAAAATGTAAAGTGAAGCTATTTGCTCATTCGAAGGTGTAGGTTCCTATGGAGAAGAACGAGAAAGAAACTCCATAGGTTACTGTTTTTCCATCAGGTCCCTAATATAATAAAATAATATAGTCTAGAGCTGACCAGTCCCAGTTGACGGTGCCCGTTCACGAACATGACACGTACACCAACACCGCCCAACTCAACCATATTGTAGGGAATTGAGCGATCCAATGCACATGCCACCCCCAATGAGACTATATTTATTGATGAACTTGAATAATTTGAATTTTACCCGTTTCTGATGACAGGTCGACCAGGATATTTGATATCCACTCTTAGTTTTGATAATCCTGCAATATTATAATATCTATTTTTTACAACTACCTCCGTTATGGATATCAAAACGACTTGATTGGTGGAATGGACCTAAAAAACCGTTTGACATATTTTGTTTAAATTAAAAAAAAAAATAATAATATGGATGGATAGGTGGGTGGATCCCTTGATCCCTAGGCCATTGCCTAAGACAGAAGGCAGTTCTCCTAGAAACGGCACGTATCGTGAGGAGGTTTCTGTCTCTGGAGCCGAAACCACCGCTAGCGGACCATGCTCCCGCTACTGGTCGGCTCCTATTTTTTATATTTTTAAATATTATTTTTATTTTGTAAGCAGTATTTATAATATTAATTGTCATTCCTTGAATGTGTACTCCGAGGGCAGTGGTAAGCAGTTCAATCTACTGTAATGTGTAAATTTTATTTTATGAAGATTCGATGTACAAATGATAATCTAAAAAAGAAATTTGACAGAAAGGAATGGGTTCGCCAGTTGGCCATTGTGTCAGTACAAAATGTAACATCAAATGAAACCGTGTATGTGTTTAGGGATCTCCTGAAAGCCTTGAAAGGTTTGGTGGTAATGTCTGAAGCCCTGGAGAACATGGCTGGAAGTCTATCCAAAAATGTGGTGCCTGCGATGTGGAGCTCTAAAGCATATCCTTCATTGAAACCCCTCGGTACGTCTTCAACTGTTCATTTTATCTCCAGACTTGGCCATCCTATCATCTATCTATATATATCCTAGCTTTTATTCGCGGCTTCGCTCGCTTCACAAAAGGATAAAAAGTAGCCTACGTGTGTGTACTAGTGGTCGCAAGTGCGACTGCCGGGCAAGGGGTCTCGGGTTCGATTCCCGGGTCGGGCAAAGTATTACTGGTTTTTTTTTAATTCGCAGTAGTAGCACGTAATCTGGAATTGAGCCCGGTATATGGCAATAGGTTCACCCCCTATTACATGGAACTCATGACATACATAGTGAAAAGTGGGTGTTACATTGTACAGTAGTATGTTGTGCACCTGTGCCTATCCCTTTGGGGATAAAAGGTTGTAATGATATGTTATGTTATGAATCCCTTTTTCCCTTGGTCACGGTATCACGCGTGGCTGGAACGATTTCACTAATTCTTTTTTTGTTGTATTTTGTTATTATTAGAAGACGGTTCTTAAACTGTCAAACACCAAGCGGTCACCGGTGACCGCAACCTATTGTTCATAATTGTGTCTACAAAACCGGTACTCGACGAGTTAAGACAGAAAAAACCTGAAAATCCTACGAGAACGGGAGATAACGGGATTGCGCGTACGAAGTCACGGGCAGAGGCTATTAAACAATAAAAAAAGACTTCACACCGTGTTACACAAATCTAGTTTATCGTGGTCTTGCTTTTGTACTATCTTTTCACGCAATAATTGGTCAGTTTCTATTGGGTACCTAGTCATGCTGATGAGATTGAAGATGGAATCTCAGCGGTGACAATCTTTTTTTTTTATAAAAATCTTGCCTTACACTAGGATTTTCTCTTGCATAGTCGGTGCGTTTACAAATATACAAGTTCACATACACATGACAGCCAGACCCGGAACAACAATTTGTGGATTACACAAACAGTTGTTCCGTGCGGGAATCGAACCCGCGACTCGTTGCGCGGCAGCTAGTCGCCCAGCCACCGTATCAACCGTGCATTCTTTTTTAACCGTTGGTTACATGATTTATTACTCTTCCAGCTGCCTGGGTAAAGGACCTATGCCTTCGAGTGCAATTCATGAAGGACTGGGCAGCACATGGCATTCCCAAGGTGTTCTGGATATCTGGCTTCTACTTCCCGCAGGCGTTCCTCACGGGAGCTCTGCAGAACTACGCTAGAAAGCATGTGATTGCCATCGACACTGTCGCCTACGCGTTTGAGGTATGTTCTATAGGATAGACAATCTACAAGAGAAATCGCTAATAAATTATTTATAGGATAGGCACAATAGATGGCAATGATGTATAGATGTTATATTAATGATGATGAATTATAAGTTTTTAATCGCCAACCCACATTGAGCAAGTGTGGTGATTAATGCTCAAACCTTCTCTGTGCGAGAAGAGGCCTTTGGTCAGCAGTGGCCACTTCAAGGCTGTTGATAGTGATGATGAGTTTTCAGTTTTATTTATTCATTAACTCGTCGAGTACCGGTTTTGCAGACACAATTATAGAATGTGTAAAAATTATGTAGTAAATAAATTGTGTAGCCGTGAGTACAATCGTTTCTTGAAGGTCAAAGGTCGTATGTATGTTGTAGGCTCTACCACAGCCTCCAACTAAGAAGCCCGAGGATGGATGCTGTGTCCGCGGGCTGTACCTCGAGGGCGCGCGGTGGAACGCAAGCGACATGTCCTTGGAAGAGAGCCGACCTAAGGAACTGCATATTGGTAAGACTAAGGATTTACTGCCTGCCGTGAATATATTGAGAAAAGCTCTACTAATTTCGAAACACAGAGGCGTTTTTCGTCATGAGCAGCGTGCGCGGTCTCGGCCACGTCGCGCAGCCTACGTAGGATACGTAGCCACCTTTTGTAAAGGACGTATAGTCCATCGTGGATTGTTTGTGAACCACGCTGTTGATGATGGTTTTACTTCCTTATAAGTACAATCGTGTAAAATGTAATAAGAATAGGGATGATGAAAGGGTATGAAAATTAAAAATATAATTAGTCCGTCATGTCCGGTAATGAAAAAATATTAGACACGTATTTTTTTATTTTGAAGTATAATAAAATGACACTTAGATATAACGAATCAAAGTTTAGGAATGGGGGCTAAAACTTCATTTCTACTTATAAAACGTACATAGAAGTGACGTCACGCGATATTTCAAATCAATATATCGTCAAAGTATTATTTTTTGTAAAAAATAAAAAAATACGTGTCTAATGTTTTATAAATAATCTACAGGCGGACATTAAAATAAAAATTAGTCATCTACCCTATTCGGGCTTGTTGGTCTTGTTGACTATGCCAAAAAATTCAGCAATCCTCGGTTCTGATGATTATTGATGTTTTTTTTTTAGTTTTCAGGTTTTTAATAAATACTTTAGGCCAAAGTCTAGGCTCAATACATAGGAACCATAAGAATCTAATAGGGACTTACAGTAATTGTATTTTGTCCTACCACGTAATAAATATTTTATTTTTTTATCTTTATAATGTTCTATTTTCAGTACCCTTATAATGTTATTTGTCAACAGAAATGGCGATTTTATACATGAAACCAGAACAGAATCACCGTCTCCAGCCGAACCTATACGAGTGCCCGACATACAAAACCTTACTCCGAGCTGGTACATTGTCCACCACTGGGCACTCTACGAACTACGTGATGACCATCGAACTGACCACGCACAAGCCACAACAACATTGGATCAAAAGAGGCGTGGCTCTGTTTTGTGCTCTCGATTATTAGACTTAGTATTTTAAACTGTCAAACACCAAGCGGTCACCGGTGACCGCAACCTATTGTTCTTTAATTGTGTCTATAATGATGGTACAAAAACTTTTTTTTTCATAATATAAACCGGTAAACGAGTAGACGGATCACCTGATGGTAAGCAATCGGCGTCGCCCATGAACACCTGGAACACTAGAGGCGTTACAAGTGCGTTACCGGCTAATTTTGAGATTAGGAATTTGAGGATTGTTGGGGATTCAAGGATTTGAAAGGGGGGGGGGAGTCATGTTGATGAGATTGAAGATGGAATCTCAGCTGTGACAATTTTTTTTATAAAAATCTTGCCCCACACTAGGATTTTCTCCTGTGTCGTGGGTGCGTTTACAAACATGCAAGTTCACATACACATTACACCCAGACCCGGAACAACAATCTGTGGATCACACAAAGAGTTGCTCCGCGCGGGAATCGAACCCGCGACACGTTGCCCGGCAGCCAGTTGCCCAACCTCCGCACCAACCAACGCAGTCAAGTAATGTGTCGTAGATTCGATTTTTGGATCAACTCTGTGCTATCAACAGATTGTTCTGGGTCCAGACCCAGAACAGTCTGTACATGTAGTGTGGGGCAACGTTTTAAAAAAATAGCCTATATCTATCTCTGTTTGTTACTTATTTCATATCAAACAGCGCAAAGGTTCAAAGGTTCAAGTGTGGGAGAGTCATGCTTCGGCACGAATGAGCCGACTCGACCGGAGTGATACCACGGCCTCACAGAAAACCGACGTGAAACAACGCTTGCGTTGTGTTTCGTCTTGTGAGTGAGGTTACCGGAGGCCCAATTACCCTCCCCTTCCCCAATCTCCCCAATCCCTAAATCTCCAACCATCCTCAAACTCCTAATCCCCAAAAGGCCGGTAACGCACTTGCAACGCCTCTGGTGTTCCAGGTGTCCATGAGCGACGCCGATTGCTTACCATCAGGTAATCCGTCTGCTCTTTTACCGGCTTATGCCATAAAAAAAGGTTCGGGATGAGATTCGGAACAGAAGAAGCAAGAAAGAAAAAGCATTTATTTGACGGTTGGCACGCACACAGATACAAAAAAAAATATACAAAATTAAAAAAGAAAAGAAGAGATAAATACACATATTTATATAGAAGCTTATAATAAGGCATTTATTATAATAAGGCATTCAGACATAGTCCATCGAACATTAGTGTTACATAGAAAATCTGGAATGACACATTTGCAACTCTTAGGCCACGGGACCGCGGGCGAAGCCATTGTCATAAACTAGTTTACGATATTTGAGGTTTACGTACAACGAAGTAACTTTTTGGTTGAGTAACTAAACGCCACAGACAAGCTACAGGTCGTATTCGACTCCCGATTGTTTGTTGTATAATTTTTCTTTTGACATAATAATTATCTGCTGTAGTGCAATTGGGTTGATTACTGAGATACTTATGAACACAATGAATGTAACCTTCATTCACTGGTCTCTGCCTACCCCTTTGGGAAATAATGTTAATGTATTGTCAGGAGAGCCCCTCGGTTGTTATTGTAATGAAATATATTTGTTATTGTTATTTATAGTATAATTGTTATTGTTAATTTGTAATGGTTTTCAAATAAATCATAGTAAATAATATATATTGTTTCATTTATACACTAGTGGTCTGTCCCAGCTTCGCTTGGTATTTCCCAATGTTCTCGGTGAATTTGTCGTAACGCCCACCTTTCACTGTTTATGTAATGAGTCCCATGTAAGGGGGAGAGCCTATTGCCATATCTTATTTATTAACTAGCTACTTCCGCGCGGTTTCACACGCTCTGCTTAGCTTCTATTGGTCGTAGCGTGATGTTTTGTAGCCTATAGCCATCCTCGATAAATGCGCTATCCAACAAACAAAAGAATTATGCAAATCAGACTTGTAGTTACGGAGATTAGCGCGTTCAAACCAACAAACAAAAAAACATACCGGCCGAACGTATAACCTCCTCCTGAAGTCGGTTAAAAAAACAAACTTCCGCTTTATTTATTAGTATTAGAAAACAGGTGAAAACTTATATTTTTAAAAGAAAAATACAACGGCAAACTTTTAGAAAAATGTAATTAGAAAAACTAGATAATTGTGACAAAATTATTTAACCTCAAATTAACAAACTAACAAAGATATATTAATTGCCAGGACAAGCGTACTGCCGGTCTCATGAATCTCGAACAAAACGGGCGGTTATGCACTCGACACGCCTTTTATACCGAACTAATTCTCTTCTACCTTCAAAAATTCCTAACAATAAATACTATTGACTAGGAATACCTAATATAAGAGTATAAGATTAAATAATTATTTTATTTATTTAAACTTTATTTATTAAAATAAAAATAGTTTGCCTTCCAATAGTAATTTGAGTACAATTGGCGGTCTTATCAGACGCGACATCATAATTTTTGTGATACGTGATGTAAAGTTTTATTGGGTTTTTTTAACGAACACACTGCGCCATCTAGTATAATTTATTCAAAGCAATCGCAACTACAGACAACTATTATGAAGATTGAGCCCACATACAAACCATCCGCCTTTATAAGCAGAGTTGTCTTCGAACAAATCATCATTCTACTAGCTAGAGGATCAGAGTTCTGTAGCCTAGCAGCCTTCTCTGAATCTAAGTACGACTAACTCCAGTTCGATAGCCTAGCGGTCTTCTGGAATTAGCCAGCTAGGGGAGGTGTGAAAGACGATAGCCACGCAGTCCCTTTCATCCTTCTACTTAGGGTTGCAACTATCTTGATTAGTTTATAGTAAATTTATGTAACAGTGAGGTTGCCAATAAATAAATAATCATCAAGAATACCGGGGCTTTAATTTCAGAACCAGCAACTCTACAGTTTTTTTTATAAAACTACACAATCAGGTAAAAGTGTTAAAACGCATCTAATTTCTGTATAAAATAAGTAACTGTAAGTGGAGTTGAGATAAATGTAACAATTATAGCAAATTAGGTTTGCAGCGAGCGTCGCGTCCGGCGAACTAATATAATTAGTCGAACCTGAACTGTCTGAACTATTTGAACTTTACTGTCTCTTACACTTTGCTACTTGCAGTTTTCTACTACATAAGTTGATTCTAATCTAATTTCATATTAATTTGTTTCACTTAGTGTTTGTTTATCTCTGTTTTTAAACTTTGCCCCACTCTAGGATTTTCGCCTGCGTCGTGGATGCGTTTACAAACATATAAGTTTACATATACATGACATCCAGACCCGAAACAACAATTTTTGGATCACACAATGAGTTGCTCCGTGTAAGAATAGAACCCGCTACACGTTGCCTAGCCACCGCACCAACCGTGCTTTCTTTTAACGTGGTCCTTCACTAAGATTTGTCTGTGTCGTGGGTGCTTTTAAAAACACGATTCCACACAGACCCGGAACAACAATTGGTGCATCGCACAGAGTTGTTTCGTATGGGAATAAAATTCGCGATCGTGTCGTAAAGTAAATGCTGATAGAAATTAGAATTAGATTTCCTTTTTTTATATATTTGATGGGCCGACGACGTTTGACCACTATCTCGCATAGTGTTGAGCGATGATGTGGTATACAATAAACCGATTCCACACATTTTTGGGCATTGTCCTTTGTATGACCTTTTTTTATTTAATCTAATTCACTTTAATTGACAAACACATTTATTGACATTAAATTTTAATTAAATTGGTGACATTATATTTTGAATTCACTTACATTACAATAATTTACAATAATTGTGTTGAAAGTTTGAATTTTGAATGTATCAATTTTTCTCCGAATAACATTGTGATGCTGTAATTTTTGTAATTTGCATGCCTCAAGGCGTAATATGGCCGGAACTGTATCTACTTAGCTAACAACTTAATTTATCCATATTAGCAAATAAATGATTTGATTTGATGAGCACGTCGCCATGCCATAAGGAGGTTAAATTACTGATAACATTGAGTTTTTTCTAAAAATTCTATGTTTTGCCAAACTAACTCCAATCTGTCAAATTTATTAATTGAATTTTCGACTTCATGTCGATAGAATAAAGTTGAAAATGTAACAAAAGGATAGGACGGCCTACTGGCCACCGTACCTACTTTTCAGATATTATAAAAAGAATTGGCATAGGATAGGAGCACCATCATCGATGTGAAATTATGCAAAAAGAAACTCAATCAAGAAACATATTTTTACGATTTCCAAAAGAACTGATGTAAATTAAATTTTGCCATTGCATCGTAAATCTTGTTCAAGTGACGGAAGTTACTCAGTATGCAGGATCGACTCTCCGTCTCAACAAAAATAAATCAAGTATTGTTTTATAGGACAACAGTGGAAGAGGTAGAAGTGCGTTACCATCATTACAAATTACAAATTCGCACATTAATCACCAAAAATTATAAATTACAAAATAAATTCTACACCCACAAATAAATTAAGGGAGTACACCTACATTGAAAACCCTTAGACTACACCGAAACCCGCCCAAATCATGTTCTGTTAAAACATTCAATCCTAAAATTATCGAAAAAATTCCTTAAATTGTTGCTTTTAACCAGGGATGACCAATTTTTAAATTGTACTGAGATTATTTAAACTCCAATTAGATATCTTCCGCCCCTTCCCCAATCTGCCCTATCACTGAATCCCCATCAATTTTCAAATTTCTTATCTCCAAAACGCCGCACGCACTTGTGTTTCGGGCGACGTCGATGGCTGCGTTTACCGGCTTATACCATAAAAAAACTACTGAAAAACAGTAAAGGAGGAAACCTCGAGGAATTGTGAGGAAACCTGGGCATATCAATACATAGTATAAAACAAAGTCGCTTTCGCTGTATGTCCGTATGTATGCTTAGATCTTTAAAACTACGCAACGGATTTTGATGCGGTTTTTTTTAATAGATAGAGTGTTTCTTAAGGAAGGTTTGTATGTATATACATATTGCACCCGTGCGAAGCCGGGGCGGGTCGCTAGTAATTTATAATTATAAGTTTGGAATCACCTATTCGCATTGTTTCTCAATCACCTTATTTTCGTGT